AGTTATTCTTTGGGGTTAGGGTCAGAAGGCAAATTCGACTGTATCTGATCAAAAACAATGTTGTATTGTATTTTTTGCCGTTTAATCAAAATTAGGTTGGAAATTTTCAGGTTTATTGATGGTTGTTTGTAAGAAAAACTAGTTTTGTTTTTACTTTTGACAAACGCATGTTATTAATTATCTAAATATTAAATTATTTATGTTTATATTATTTAAAGTTTAAAATATAAACTGGGGAAATTATTGGACTTGTATCATTGGGCAGTGCAAGCCGGGGAACTTATTGGACTTGAAGTTCGTTTACGCTGGCTCATATTGGGCCATCTTTGAAACTTTTTAAATGGGCGTATCGTTAATGATGGACTATCCTATCTTGGCCCACACATGAATCTGGAACTAAGAGTTCGATTTTATTCCTCTATTTTCCTGTCCTGGTCCTAATTTTTCCAAAGGTCAACAAATAAAACCAGTCAACTCACATGTAAATAATATTTTGTCTTTTTTCAACAGGAAAAATCTAGTAGGCCTGCAAATAATTTCAACTTTTACGCTGGTTTCCACTTAACGGCAGTTTAAACGTCAAATCGGTTAATTTTTACCATTAATTTCTTTATTTTATATTACAAAACAGATCACTTATTAAATGTAGCCTGAGTCTATTTGTCTTCGCGTGCCAGCTCATTGTTCAATACTGCTCTTGAAAAGCGACGTTATCCCGAGTTGACTCAGAGTTGCTAAAACGGTGCCACGCAATCCTGTTTTCTTTCACGCTCACGGGCCAAACAAAAACACGCGTTTGGCTCTCGTTATTGACCCAAAAAAACAAAAAAAAAAAAAAAAAATCCTTAGGTTTGGAGCTTATAATAAAATTAAACAAATAAAGAATAGCGGCTTATTGGTTTGGGTCAAATAAAAATAAAAAACGAGAGGTATTTTTATTATAGGTAGTGGCACTAGGCTGGATTAAATCACGTTATATTGATGAAATGAACATTAGTTGAATAAATAAACTAATCACATGTTGTATTGGTTAAGGTATTCTCTAGTTTCATTTCATTAGATTGTTGAGAAGTATACAATTATGATATCATTGTTTACACATGTCATTTATCCAACATAATGAAACACGAAATAAAATATGAAAGTCTAGTGAAAAATTTCATTCCCTTTCAATTTTACAAATGCAACTTGGCCCTTTTCATGCTAGTGACTAGTGATAGAGAAGCTATACAATATAATATAAGAATTTGATAAATTTATTCGATCACTCAACTCAAATTTAATTTTGTTAAAATGCTATGTCTATTAATAAAAGTTATCATCTATATATATATATATGCATATGCTATAATGAATAAAATGAAAACAATATAATTATATATATCATTTAGGAATATCAAATTAACTATCAATATAATTCTATTTACTGATTTAAAAAAATTATATATATATATATATATATATATATATATATATTTTTGCCCACATCCCACTGTAAAAACATATATTTTCACCCATATCTCACCCTAAACATAACAACTATGTTGAATGGTATACAAGGATGTGTTTGTTTATAAATAAACTCACACATACTTAAAATCTAACTCAATCTAACTATTCTCCATCTATATAATTAAATAATATCAATCAATCATTTTTATACATCACATCAACTTTGATTTACAATTCATCCATTCACATAAATTTTAGCTTATTATAACTTCCCATCATCCCTATTACTTTTACATCAAATCAACATAATTTTTATTTTAATATAAATTCAAAATTTAACTACCAATTAACCATATCACATTTTTCAAAATTAAATATGGTAACCCAAAAAAATCATTTTCTACGGATATATTTGTATCCAATCACGCCCTAAGCTTGAATTGAACTAGAGCTTTTATCCAACAAACACAAATAA